GTTCGGGGGGGGGGGGGTGGTGGTGGTTACAGACCGACCAGGGAGGCCCGCCCGAATAGAGATCTGATTATAATCTGGTTCGCTAAAATATGACGGGAGACGCCCCCCCCCCCCCCTTCCTCGTCCCCCCTCGCTTCCCCTTCTCATATCATCCCCCTTCCCCCTCCCCCTCCTCTACCCCATCCACATGCATTCCCACTCCTTCCCCCCAGGAAAGCTCCAACCTAATCTTGTATTATGGCATCGATAATTAAATTGGTCTGCAAAGTAAAAAGTAAGGGTCTGGACACAAGTAGTGTCAACTTGTCCTCTCCTTCCTAACACACGTCCCAATCAACGGTGGGTCACACGGAAAGAGATCATGCTTTACTTCTAAACTTCACTCTAACATGTACGGGTTTAATTCCCCTTATAAGCAACATTAGATCATTTAAGAGACAGGACCTTCGAATTCAACTAAAGTATCCGACAGGACTGACCTAAACGGGTTGAGATTCTTGAAAACTTCACAAAATGACCAAAGTTCAAGAGCACCTTATATGAGATTCGACCAACCTCATCAGTTCCAATCCAGCATGATACCAACTGAACTAACGAGGCATCATGAATTCCCCATGTGTTACTTGTCTTAAACCAAAAAAAACAACCCAACAGAAGACATACAATAGGCTCGTGGCGTTGACGGCCCCGTGGTTTGCCGGAATATGCAAACGTGTTGCTAATGTGTACATGATGGTTCTGAATATGCCGTTACATTGCCAAGGTGTGTTGGTGTGTATGTGCATGCATTTATGTGTGTGTAGGTATATCTGTATGTGTATATGTTTGTGTGTGTGTGTGTGTGTGTGTGTGTGTGTGTGTGTGTGTGTGTGTGTGTGTGTGTGTGTGTGTGTGTATGTGTGTGCATGTCAGCTACGCGTCTTAAAGAATTAAAACTAAACTCCGTGCAAGTACTGTATCCTTTCCTTGCAAGAACGCCAAAGCTGGGTCCTTACGTTACGGGCTGCGATTTCTCAAGTTTCTGTTGGAAGGCTTGCTACACAAGCAGATAGAAATCGTAAAGATTGTCGGAGATTGTCGGTAGGATTGTCGCTGCTCTATGCGTGGCATCGCTGAGGCAAAAGAGCGCCCCCTCCCCCCCCCCCACACCCCAAAATACCACCCCATACCCCCAATGCCCCCCCCTATCTATCTCTCTCTCTCTCTCTCTCTCTCTCTCTCTCTCTCACACACACACACACACACACACACACGTACACACATGCACATACGCACAAATACACACTCAAACACACACACACACACACACACACACACACACACACACACACACACACACACCATTTTCAAGGCACTTTGCGCTTTGCATTCACACACAGGAGACCCAAGTTCGATTCCCGAGTGGGGAGAAATTTTTACCGAGTATCTAAATCTACCTGCTGTGATGTTTTATCTCTTTCAGCCGGATTGGTTTTGACAGATCTTAATTGTGAAGATGAGTGTCATATTTTGAACCTCCGTACACAAATCAGAAATTTAAAACAAATTTGCATTTTTCATAGTACTCATATTGTTGCCATTAATAAACATAGAGCATGCTGCAGAGCGTGGACGTGCGCTATATGATAGCTACTACTGTTATTATTGTCATTCATATTGTCATTATTATTATTGTTATTGTTATCATCATCATCATCATCATCATCATCATCATCATCATCATCATCATCATTTTTGTTATTATTATTATTATTATTATTATTATTATTATTATTATTATTATTATTATTATCACTATCTCAACTCCATCACGCATTTCTATGTTGAACTCACCAAGAATGCACGTTCTGGTCGTTCGACAACTCATGAAGACACCATGTTTAAGGGAATTTTTAAAAGAAGCAAAATTTATTCCAACTGAATTTCAAATTATTGTTTCCTTTTTCTGAAACCTTGGGTCATAACCATAATAATAATTATAATAATAATAATGATGGAATAATAATAATAATAATAATAATAATAATAATAATAATAATAATAATAATAATAATAATAATAATAATAATAATAATAATAATA